GACCTAGGAAAGTTTTGGAAAGGCAGAAGTGCCGGACTCCCAACGCTGCATCCAGCAACACAAAGGGTGTGCGGCGGCTGAGCAAGGAAGTTACTGGTCATCGTGTGCTCAAATCATGTCCCCACATCGTTCAAAGGCAGTTTTTGACTACGCCATGTTTGACGAGTGCGTATGGAGAAGCACGAGTCTTTTTCGCAAAGGAACACGTAGGCTGGACTCGTCAATGGGATGAGGTACTTTGCACTGGCGGATTCCGCATGTAATATCATACACTGTAGTGCTCCAGGTGAATTTTTCCGATGAAAAGAAGTCTAATTTGGATGGACCCGATGGCCTGGCAAGCTATTGGCGCGATTTGAGGAAGGAGCCACACTACTTTTCCAGACGCGGATTCGGTGGCGGTATGTCATGGTTTGAGCTGGCTTCTCAGCGTTCCGTCCCAGTTTTTTGTCACGCAACGCTTGAACTTCAGTGGCTACAGGAACATCCCCCAAAACAATTCGGTACCATACATGCAGCGATTTCCACCCTTTAAGTTCAAATTCCAACAAGACAACGCCGCCGTTCATGTAAGTGTCTCAACAATGGAGTGGTTCCAAGACAGAAACACAAACTACCTGACTTGAATCCGATAGAGAACCTCTGGGGCATACTCGCACGGGACGTTTACGCCAACTGCAGACAGTTGAGAACGAAAAACAGCTGAAAAACGCCGTCAAGGAGGCTTGAGAGCAGATATCGCCGGAAACGATTCAAGGTTTGCCCAAAGCATGCCGAAGCGGATGATTGAAGTTATCAAAGAAGAAGAAATGTTACTACTTTTTAATTATTATTGTTATTATTGATTTCATTAAGTATATCGTTCGGGAAGTTTGAACGCCGAAGTGTCCCTATACTTTTGGGACGCCATGATTTAGAAAAAAAAATCATGAAAAAAACCAAGGATTTTTCTTTCCCAATTTCACTTATATATTTGTACCCTGGTGTAATAGTGCATTGTTGATAAAAATTTGGAGAGAAATCATTTGCCCATTATAGAGATATTGAAGAAAATAGGGTGTCCCTATACTTTTGGTACACACTGTATTCTAAAATGTTGCAGATAAGAAGAGCGCTTATGACAAATAATAAACACCTGAAATATGCTTCTGATAAGTGAATATGTAATGTGGAAGTACTCCTGGGGGCTTTTACCCTCAGGCCTACAAATTCTTATAATGGTCCTGGACCGGCGGACTGGAGATTTTTACCTGGGCATAAGGGTGGACGCTGGCGTAGAAAACTGAATAGCATTTGAGCATGATGTGTAGAATGTAGGGCACTGACCGCTCCTTATCAAAAATACACTTCAAATGGCCGTTCGCGTAATTTATTATAGTTGTATAGAGAAACGGTTGGTTTTAAGGAAGGAACCCAAAGGAACGTCACTATAAGCTAACAAGGAGCATTTAGGGTCCCTCAAACCTAATTTTCACCTCAAAAAATACTCAATTTTTATTTTTCTGTTCCTAGACTTACGAGAAAGTTCTCTGTGACATTCCCAATGTTGAATCACGATAAAAAATCTATCAAGGGTCAAAGGGCTCAGCGCGATCGTTCGCCTACACAGCGGTTGGCCGCTTACTGTCCTGTGCCTATTCTAAGATCGTTTGGGCAGAACTTCCTGCTCAGCAGTCATATGACGAATTACCGTGAAAATACAGTTTGGAAGTATCGAAATTGAAGGTGAATTCAAATTTGCATGGGTGAATCCGTCCTCTCTAACTACAGGAGGTGCGCTTTCAGCGAAAACATCGCAAGTTTCACCCTCGTTTTCAGGCGCTCCGCTAAGTATCGATTCCTTACAGAAGTCCGACCTATACCAAACGAAAGGCGTCCCCAATCGAATATCCAGATCGTAGAGCAGTGTCTTCAGACTCGATGGAAAATGATTCTCTCGGAGAGACACTCGATTGGCGATAGCTGGGCGTTGCCTTCGACCCGCGCGCCGGACAAGGGCTGCTTGGCGATCCCGGTAAGACCAGGAAGCCAGGGATGCCTGAGCTTTCACCCAGGCCCCTGCCAGGAGTCCTGGTAGACCGCCCCGGCAACCATGCCACCCGATCACGCCTCCACCGTGCTTTCAATGCCCAGTTGGTCCGCCTGGCAAATCTGGTCCTCGAGGGCCGCCTGGAGAACCCGGACCGAACGGTTTTCCAGGCGTGCCTGGAGTGGTTCCGCCTCCAGGAGCCCCAGGACCACCCGGACCTCCTGGCGTACCCGGAGATCCTGGCGAGCCTCGGCCGGGACGGCACACCTGGTAAGTATCTTTCTGCACGCAGATGAGTAGATATGTTCATAAGATGCGACTCACTATTTGAAGATTTCGAAAAATCATCGTGAACTATTTGCTCGTTATGAAAATTTTCCATAAAAACATGATCGAAAAAATTTAATATAACGTCAGTTCATAATCGTAAGATTTATTCCATTTTCCAGGCAAAGACGCCCCTTATGAGCCACACATAACTGGCCCACAAGGAGATCCGGGACTGAGCGGAAGAGTTGGAACACCAGGTCCTCCCGGTTATCCTGGACGCAACGGAATTCCAGGAACGCCTGGGCTGAGAGGTCCGCCTGGAGAAATTGGATTACCTGGCCGTGAAGGGCCAGTGGGACCGTCTGGCCCTATCGGACCACAAGGAGAACAAGGACAAAAAGGCATTTGTCCAAAATATTGTGCGATTGACGGTGGTGCTTTTTTCGGGGACGATCAGGTATAACTCGTGCACTTGCACCATCTTGCTGATTTGAATAAAGATGATTTTGATATCAAAATGATAACACAACCTTAAAATCGGATGGGTTTTCGTTAGTTGCCGCCATTGTGCTATCGCCGAGTTTGACACCTACCTTACATGGGAAGGATGGTTTGGTCAAAATGGCCGTTTAAAGGCAAGGACTAAGCGCGGAGAGGAGAGTATGAGGCGAGAGAGCGCTACAGATGAGAGGGCGCCAGACAACAGCCTGATAAGAAAAAATTGCAGCTGCAGCAGCTTACTTTGCAAGGCCCTAGCGCTCTTGTCGGTTGGTTTCCGTGCACGGGAATGCCACACTTGTGAGAGCACTCTAGTGGTCTCCACGTACGGCTTTGAATGAACCTCGGCATAATGTAGCTTGTTGTTATTTTCTTTGAAGCTCCTCACGAGGTTGGCAAATAACTTTTATTGGGCTTACGTTTCGG